CCCATTCCCAGGCCTTCACTATGTATGTATGTATCCTCTGTTGTTTTATATATTTTAACTTTCTTATCATTAGCTTCACAACTAATATTCACACATATGCAAATACATACTTTATTTTCTTTTTGAGTCTTGGTTACTTCACTCAGAATGATTTTCCCTAGTTTACCTGTGAATATCGATTTACCAGAAAGTTTCATGATTTCATTATTTATTTTTAAAGCAAGCCTTTTTTCATTCATTCATTTAGCTCATAAATAAAGTCATGCACAATTATGACACGGAATACAGTATGTTCACAATGGCATGTCTATATTAAACCAATTAATATGTTATATCACACATACTCATCATTTTTGTTTTGAAAACACTTAAAGTATATTATCTCACAATTTTTAAAATATATCATATTGTTATCAACCATATTTATCATATCATCTGTAAATAGTGAGAGTTTGACTTCTTCCTTTCCGATTTGTATTCCCTTGATCTCCTTTTGTTGTCTTATTGCTCTAGCTAGGATTTCAAGGACAATATTGAAGAGGTATGGAGAGAGTGGACAGCCTTGTCTTGTCTCCGATTTTAGAGGAATTTGATCGAGTTTCTCTCCATTTAATTTGATGTTGGCTTTTGGCTTGCTGTATATTGCTTTTATTATATTGGGGTATGTTCCTGTTATTCCTGATTTCTCTAAGGCCTTTGTCATGAAGGGGTTTTGGATTTTGTCAAAGGGTTTTTCAGCATCTAGTGAGATGATCATGTGTTTTTTTTTTCTTAGTCTGTTTATATGGTGGATTTCATTGATAGATTTTCATATGTTGAAAATCCCTTGCTTTCCTGGGATGAAACCTACTTGATCATAGTGGATGATTTCCCTGATATGATCTTGTATTCTATTTGCTAGGTTTTATTTAGAATTTTGCATCAATTTTCATGAGGGATGTTGGTCTGTAGTTCTCTTTCTTAGTTGTGTCTTTGTGTGGCTTGGGTATCAAGGTTATTGTAGCCTCCTAAAAATGGTAATGTCCCTTCTGCTTCTATTTTGTGGAACAATTTGAGGAGTATTGGTATTAGCATTTCTTTGAATTTATGGTAGAATTCTGCAGTGAATCCATCTGGCCCTGGGCTTTTTTTGGTTGGGAGACTTTTGATGACTGCTTCAATTTCCTTAGAGTTTATAGGTCTGTTTAAGTTGCCTTTCTGTTCTTGATTCAATTTTGGTAAGTGATAACTGTCCAGAAAATTGTCCATTTCCTTTAAATTTTCCAATTTTGTGGAGTACAGGTTTTCAAAGTATGACCTGAAGATTCTCTGGATTTCTTCAGTGTCCGTTGTTATGTCCCCCTCTTCATTTCTGATTTTGTTAATTTGTATGATCTCTCTCTGCCTTTTGGTTAATTTGGATAACGGTTTGTCTATTTTGTTGATTTTCTCAAAGAACCAACTCTTTGTTATATTGATTCTTTGAATTGTTTTCTTTGTTTCAACTTTATTGATTTCTGCCCTCAGTTTGATTATTTCCTGGCGTCTGCTACTCCAGGGTGAATTTGCTTCCATTTTTTTCTAGAGCTATCAGCTGTGATGTCAAATCTCTGGTGTGGCTATTCTCTAGTTTCTTCATGTGAGCACTTAGAGCTATCAACTTTCCTCTTAGTACTGCTTTCAAAGTGTCCCATAAGTTTGAGTATCTTGTGTCAACATTTTCATTGAATTCTAGGAAGTCTTTCATTTCTTTCTTTATTTATTCCTTGACCCAGGAATGGTGCAATTGCATGTTATTCAATTTCTGTGAGTTGGTAGGTTTTTTGCACGTTGATTTGTTTTTGATTTCTAACTTTAAAGCATGGTGGTCTGATAAGACACATGGGATTATTCCAAGTTTTTGTACCTGTTGAGATTTACTATGGTGCCCAGAATTTGGTCGATTTTTGAGAAGTTTCCATGTGATGCTGAAAAGAAGGTATATTCTTTTGAGTTTGGAAAGAAAGTTCTATAAATGTCTGTTAATCCCAATTGGGTCATACTTCTGTTAGTTTCTTTGTCTCTTTGTTAAGTTTCTGTCTGGTGGTCCTGTCCAGTGGTGAGAGGGGGGGATTGAAGTCTCCCACTATAACTGTGTGAGGCCTTATTTGTGATTTGAGTTTTAATAATATTTCTTTTACAAATGTTGGTGCCTTTGTATTTGTGGCATAGATATTTAGAATTGAGACTTCTTCCTGATGGATTTACATGTGATGAATATGAAATGACCTGCTTCATCTCGTTTGATTGATTTTAGTTTGAAGATTATCTTGTTAGATACTATGATAGCTCCCCCAGGGCTGGAGAGATGGCTCAGTCGTTAAAGGCTAGGCTCACAACCAAAAGTATAAAGCAAGCCTTTTTAATTCATGAAATGGCTGCCTGCCCCTACAGTAAGTTTCAAGAGGGCAGCATTGGATGTCGGGAAGAGAAGAACTTTTCATAGTTCTGGGGTAAATGAGTTTCAAATGGGGTTTTCAGACAAATAAAACAGAACATAGGAAGATGGTCATAATAAGGTAGTCATAACAGCAGGAGGTTATAATAACCTTTTGAAACAAAAATAGGTTTGCAAGGTGGTCAAACAACTTTTGAGACAAAGACATAGTTGTTGATTCCTGGAACAGGAAGGCAGTACAGAACCATTTGGTGTGAAGGTTACAGGTGAGGCATAGCCATATCCTTGAGAAAAAGAAATTTAATCATAAACAGGAATGAACCTAGTTTATCTTGTTAATTCCACTGAATGAGAGTAAAGGCCATTACCCAAATTCTTTGTTCAAATTATGCAAGCTTTACTTTTTGGCAAATGGGGAGGGCTATTTCTCTAAAGTGAAGTTTGAGAAAATAGCATTGAACACA